AAATAACTGCAAAAATAGGTCATCAATAATATGGGGATAATAGCAGTAGTCCTGTTTTGAAAAATTCTGAAGATTTCAGAAAAATTCTGCGGACTTCCCACAGTTTAACGTGAAGTGGAAGCATTCGGGAGTGGCCCGAGTGACCAGAATACACAGCGCCACCAGCGCTGCTGCTGCAAAACGGCCTACCGTTTTATCTTTCAAGAATTTTGCTTATCATGATTTTCATGGTGGTTCTATTCTCCACGACATGCCAGTGCCGAATTATCATTGAAACAGTAAAAAAAATAAAAAAGGTTGGTTTTCTCGCTAGCAGAAATGAACCGTTGACCGACAGCTTGAGAAAAGTGCTACTTAACACTACATTGCACTACTGGCTGTGCAAAAAACAAGTGGCATTTCGGAACACAGAAAAGAACAGGCGAAGGGGAGTTTTTGAGGTTCACTCGAAACAAGGGTTCGGATTTGCGGCGGCGAGAAACACCTGTAGAGTTTAGTCAATTTTTGTGGTATTTCTTCACGCCCTTTCAAGAGAACCGCGCCTAAACTTTCCAATACTGTATAAGAAAATGCGGACAATTTTTTGTAATACGAAAAGCATGGAGCACCTGAAACATTCGATCGCCTTCCAGCTGTCTGTTGAATCCTCGGTCGATTGGTGCAAAATGATCAATCGTTGATGGATCATAGCGTTTCTCTTGCCGACGACAACCCTCCACAAGTTCGTAATCAAAATGCTGTAAAAGAGCGGTACATCAGAAATTCAGCAGCTAATTTCTGCAAAAACAGCAAAACGGAGAATGCTCCTCATTTTCGAACCTCATTTTCAGCACTCAAATACGGAAAAAGAGATGCGAATCAATGCCAATCATATCTAAAGTACGTCGAGAATTATCGCCCCAAATGCTGTACTTTTCGTCGTAATGACGAGGTCCAATTGTGGTAATGGTAAGAAATGTATATGACTTAATGGACCGAAACATTTCTTACCGTTGTAATATATTTTACAATATATTTCAAGTTTTTATTGATTTTTTGAGGAATTACTAGCTTTTTCTTCTTCCTTTATTAAAAAAAATTTCATTCCACTTTCACGTTCTCTGAGACGGACGGGAAAGAACGCCTCGGTCCTAACTTTCTGAACAAAATATTTCACATAATGATTTATGGTCTTTTGTTAAAAACTGCGTAAGGAGCAATTGCATCACTAAATGAAAAATTATTTAGCAGTGGAAATGAAGGTTTTTTTTCAGGGATGAGTGTTGGCTACCTCAGGATCGGTTCGAATGACGAAGTAGTTGTCGCAGAGATGGCATTTCATGCGAAACTCATAGAGTGGCGTTGTGTAGTACATGCCAACTTTCTTTTTCTCGGCGTTATAGCGTACACCCATGCCAATGTGGTTGTTGCAGCCAAGGCACCAGATATTGAACGGCATCTCGAATCTGAACCAATCAAGTTCCAGCAACGAAAAAACATACAGCTCTAAGCGTCAGACTCAGAAATTTGCCCGTCTTCGAATTATCGCTCCAAAATTCATGTATCAAGCAATAGGTCTGTATCAAAGGCTAAAAGAAAATATAGGAAAAGAAGGAAATGATGAAAAGAAGAAATGGATATTAAGATAGGTAAGGGATATAAAAAATATTTGTTATAAATAAGAAATGTTTCGGTCCATTAAGTCGTATACATTTCTTACCGTTACCACAATTGGACCTCGTCAGTACGACGATTGTGGTAACACAAAATTTAGTAAGGTATATAAATTAATTAAGATAAAAACATTTAATCCAGAAACAAAAGTAATAGTAGGGGAAAAGGAAAATGTATGGGAAAAAAGGAAAATATAAAAGTATGTAAGGAAAAGTAAAAAGAAAAGGAAAAAGAACTGGACAACAAATACAAGCTGAACTTATATTGCAATTTTATAATGTTTTCCAACTACTCTAAATTTGATATAATTAAAAAATCTCTTTCCTATTTTTCACTTTTTCTCTTTTCCTGCCTTCCATTCCTTCCTTTTTCCAGTCATCTCTGAACACCGTGACCGTTATACTGACGAGGTCCAGTCGTGGTGTTGAGCTAAGACATATATGACTTAATGGACCGAAACTTCTTAACTCTTTCTCACTTATTTTTCTTACACTAGCTATATTTCTACATCTATACATACACAGTCAGCTCTAGTCGTGCCCTATCTAAGTTCATAATATTACTCGGATGCTACAACCATGCAAGAAACAGCTTACCGTATGATCAGGATGCCCTGTTTGATTTTGGCCGCTCTTTCGCGCAGTGCATGAGTGCCATGGTATTTGTTCAAGCTTTTGTGCTTCTTATAGTCAAAATCTGGAGGATAATAGAAATTCTGTCCCTTTCGTTCACCCATTTTTGGCGCTTACTGAAAAATTTACAAGAGTTTTACACTGGAGCCGATAATACGGAACAAAGGCACTCATAGTTTTCTCCCAAATATATATGAAATGTCAAAACGAGTTCCGGGAAATCTCCAAATAGGCATGAAAGTCCATGAAAACTCTTCTGTAACACAAAATCTCTAGCTAAATGAAGTGGCTGCGCGAGCAGCTGAGACGCGATAACATCGTTAAAATTCTCCCATTCTGTAAAAATCCAACAACTGACCAGCAAGTAAACCATCAAAGCAAAAATCCAGCACGAACTTTCTCCCCGACTAAAAACTGATGCTTAATCGCTAGATATAACATAAATGAAACCCTTTTATCAAATTTTAAGCAGATTTCTGATATCAAATAGACACTGATCTGACCACTAATTTTTAATTTTTATGCTTCTGCTACGAAATTCTGCAACCCTCTTGCCTAGTCTATGCCTCTTGCATTCAACTTCCCACATTTTTATGAGTTTTTTTGCAACTATGCAATGCAGGAAACGCATA